AATATCATCAAAGAAATCAGGTGAACTCACAGAGGGTATATCAACACTTTTGTCTCATCAAAATATAAAATGACTCATATGGAACATGATTTAAACCCAGAAATGCAATTTTATGACGATTTAAACATTAGCTGTGAGTATTTCACAGAAGAGCAGTTCAAAAGTAAGGTTGACATGGATGAACATTTATCAATTATACATATAAATTGCAGGAGCATTTGGAAAAACTTTGACAAAATAAAGGAACTATTGCAATCACTCTCCAAATTTAGTATTATTGCTGTATCTGAAACTTGGCTGGATGAAAATAAAATCACAGAGGTGCAAATGGAAGGGTATGAGCTGGTCACAGTAAGTAGACACAGTAAAAGGGGTGGCGGGGTTGGTTTGTATGTGGATTCAGCTTTGCATTACAAATGTATTGAAAACAAATCAATTGCAATACAGGATCTATTTGAATGTGTAACAGTTGAAATTGAGTCTAAAAACTCCAGAAATGTACTTGTTACTTGTGTATACAGAACCCCAGGATCCTCCATACATCTATTTAATGAAAAAATGAATGAAGTGGTAAACTTAAACTTTGCGAAAGAACAAATAGTATGTGGTGATTTTAACATTGATCTACTAAATGTCACAGCTCACAGTAAAACTGCAGACTTCTGTAACATGATGTACAGCAACATGCTGGTTCCAATCATAAATAAGCCTAGCAGGATTACAGTGGATACAACTACATTGATTGACAATATATTTTCAAATAAAATTGAGAATAAAATAGTTGGTGGCCTTCTGATTAGTGATGTAAGCGACCACCTCCCTGTTTTTGCTGTCTTCCACAATCGTTTAAAAATAAAAAAATGAAAATGAATCAAAGTATAAACTCATAAGACACCAGACAACCCAGTCACTACAACATTTTCAACAGGATTTGGGCAAAGAAAACTGGAATCACGTATATTCTAAAGATGATCCTGTAGGGTAATAATATAACAGTAAGCTATGAATTTAGTAGTGTGGAGCGGCTAGTCTCCGGATCAGAAACTCGCCGTTCCACCAATGGGTCTGTCTTATTTATTTTGGGCACCAGTAGACGTTTGAGGGTCTACGACAGACCCAAACCAACTTTGCCTCGAGTCAGTCTTATAATCAAAAGGTAGTTAATTCGTAAATCGGCCAGGGATATACCGAAATCTAACAACACGACTCTGATAGGATTGAGTTAAAGAAAAGGGGTTTATTGATTACAAAAATGAAGGTAAAAATATAACGAAGGGGATTTCTGGTCACATTAAAGCAGAAGTGGTATACATTCCATTCAAATCACACATTTAACAAGAACAGTCTTACTTTGTAGGAGCGTAGAGGATGGAGAAAGGATTTGGGTTGGGGAATCAGCCCACGTGGTTTCTTTGTCTGGGCAGGCGGGAGGTACGAAGCCAGCGAGTTGGTCCAGCTGCTGATCCACGCGTATGCAGCCCAGTCCGGAATGGGTGCGCGCGTATAGTCCAGAGCCAGAGAAAGAGGCTGGTGATGGAACAGTTCATAAGGTCCCGAACCAGAGGAGAGCGTGTTTTGCGGAGGAGGAGGCCCAATTGTGCTGGCGCGGCCGTAGTTGGAGACACGTACCGCGGGACGCAGATGGCCAGGGAGAGCTGGGATAGTGATTTCAGGAGAGGACAAGAGACAGTTTGTTGCGTTGTGAGAGTTTATATTGACTTCTGAAGGGGGCGCGTCCTTTGATGTCATCCATGTGCGACAGCCTCCTCACAACAGGCGGTTTATCAAGAAAAGCACACAAGATCAATACAGCCACCCATAACACATCGTACAAACACACAGTGCATTTACATCACAGACATCAACACACACGAGTAAGGTCCGTAACGTTATCGACATAATATTACAGAGTAATGTCCTTTTCGAGTGTCCGTCTCGGGTGCAGTAGTGTCCAGTGTCCGCTAGGGAGCGCCAGAGCGCCGTGGGAGAGTCTCAGGTTGTGGAATGTCTCATGAGCGATTGCTGATGAATGATTCCTGATCTCCGTCTGGCAGGAGGGCACACAGATGTCCTGCTCTGTTGTTTTATTGCCCCTCTGGGTCTCGTTGCGGTGTTCCTGGTGAATGTTAGCCTTTAATTGAACCCGCAGTTGCTTTGAAGTCTCAGGAGCTAGGGAGGGCATGTTTACGGAAAGGGTCTGCTATTCACACCCGATTGGCGCTCACCTTTTCCTCACCCTACAATCCTAATGAGGCATATCAATCGTTCCTGCAAAAATATGTGGAACTATTCAATCAAAACTTTCCATTACAAAGAGTAAAGGATAGATCCAAACCTAAAAAAAAACCATGGATGACCAAGGGATTAGAAAGAGCTTGTAAGAAGAAGAACCAATTGTACAAAATATTGTTTAAAATAGAACAGTAGATGCTGAAAGAAAATATAAAAAGTACAAAAATAAATTAGTAAATATTATGAGAAATAGAAAAATGGAGTACTTTCAAACCCAATTAGAAGCACAAAAACAAAATATAAAAGGTACATGGAGTGTGATAAATAGAATCATAAAGGAAGGACGAAAAAAGTCAGAAATCCCAAATTACATGAAAAAGGAAAATACCAAATTAGAATCCCTAAAAGAAATAGTTGATGAATTCCACAAATATTTTGCAAATGTGGGCTCCAATCTTGCAAAAGACATTGACAATAAAGGAATAAATATAACCCCCAGTGAGGCCGTTCAAACTAATATGAATTCCTTCTACCTTAATCCTACAAATGAAAAAGAAGTAGTACAAATTGTAAAATTTTTTAAAGAAAAAACGTCTAAAGACATATAGGATATAGACATGAAATTAATAAAAAACACAATTATACCCATTGCACAGCCCCTAACATATATATGTAATCAGTCGTTTAAAAAAGGAATATTCCCAGATGATATGAAAATTGCTAGAGTTATTCCGATATTCAAAACTGGTGATAAGCACTCGTTCTCAAACTATAGACCTATTTCTGTGCTTTCCCAATTTTCAAAAATAATCGAGAAGGTGTTTGTTCAAAGACTTGATCAGTACTTAGAAAAATATGAACTACTGAGCGATCACCAATATGGGTTCAGAAAGAACCGCTCCACTGCAATGGCTGTTATGGATTTAACAGAAAACATTTCCAAAGCAATTGATGACAAACAATACAGTGTTGGGGTATTTATTGACCTGAAGAAGGCTTTTGATCCCCTAGATCACAACATCCTATTACAAAAACTAAGAAAATATGGATTTAGAGGACCAGTGCATACATGGCTACAGAGTTATTTAGAAAATAGGCACCAGTACGTACAAATAAATGATACAAAATCAGAAATGGTTAAAATAACTTATGGAATTCCACAGGGATCCATTCTAGGACCTAAATTGTTAATTATCTACATTAATGATTTGTGCAATGTGTCGGTAAAGTTGAATTGTGTCCTATTTGCGGATGACACCACCTTGTACAGCTCTGGTCATGATTTAAATCAGCTTGTGGAAATGATGGAAAGAGAGTTGCACAAGTTTAAAATGTGGTTTGATATTAATAAATTATCTTTAAACATTAAAAAAACTAAATACATGATATTTTCAAATCATAAAATTGACGATCGAGTAAGCTTAACGCTGAACAATATGCCATTAGAACGAGTAAATGAAAATAAATTTTTAGGAGTAACCATTGATGAGGATTTAAATTGGAAATCACACATAAATTATATCAAAATTAAATTATCTAAAACAATAGCAATATTATATAAATCTAGACATAATCTAAATAAAGAGAGTTTACTTATTATATACAACTCACTAATAATGCCATATATAACGTACTGTATAGAGATTTGGGGAAATACCTACAAAACAAACACCAAACCCATCGCTATACTGCAAAAGAAGGCAATAAGGCTCATCACATTCTCGAATTACAACCAGTCAACTCATCCTTTATTTACAAACCTTAAAACATTGAACTGTACAGAGGAACTCAAACAGTGCACCTCTCTCTTTCATTTTAAAAGATTATATAAAAATAAGACTCTTGTCAGATACTTGAAATTTGTCCAATAATTTTCTGTTTCTGTATCTCCTTAATGGATAAACGGCCTGATGTTTTTTTTTTGTATTTCCGATGAGGAAAAACACAAAGGCACATGTTGTGTTGTAAAGGCAGGCATTATAAGCTTATGCTTCAGCCGACGCCTTTTCGGTCAGTGTAAAGTAAAGTAAAGTATCAGTTTGTACGGTACATTCTTTTTTTTTTTTGGAATATTTTGTGTTCCTGTGGAAACTATCCTTGTACAACTTTGTTTTCGATGCCTGACCGAATAAACTAAACTAAACTAGATACTGAAGTAATTAGCTGTAACTTTATTTTTTTATTTTTAAATTCATAGATTAATATGTTGTGTTCACTACTTTATGTGTGTGAGAGCTGGTGATAGAGCCCAAATGTTCTAGAGATATGGACTATAATAAGATGGATTTTACTACAATAATTATTTGATTTTAAAGAACACTGGTTATTGGTCGGATACAGCCCTAAACTCTTCAATTACTCTACTTCTTTATTCTCTTTATACTAATACTCTTCAGAAATAGTGGCGGACACTTGCTGATGTGCTGTTTTCCTTCTAAATCAGGAATGGGAAAGGATTTTCTCTTGTCATATTGTGGCCAGACCTGTTTTTACAAGACTACTAATGAATTGAATTAAACATTTTAAGTAATATCTGTGAAAAGCTGGATCAGTCATTTATTTGACCTGCACATTTTATTTCTAAAGGAAAGGAGAGGGAACATGGAGCCAACATATCCGGCGTTTTCTTTGTGTTTGTGCAAAGTTTTTTTATCCTTGTTCTTTTTTATCTGTGGCCATTGTTTTGCCTTTTCACAATGAGGGAAATGTGTGAAAATGATTATTATTGTTTGCCCATGTCTGTTTATAGACTGCTTCTCACTGGTGAAATGTCCCACTTCTGCAGAACCTTCAGAAAACAGAGTGAGCAGAGTTTGTGGAAAACATTCATTAGACTCAGCGACACGTTCACGTCCTCTGTATCCTCCCATCGAAGTGAGCTGTCACTGTCATCTCTGCAAAGTGTCCAGACGTCTGTGGTCTAGACTCCAGAGCAGAGGTGCTACATTTGAGCTGCCAGACAATGGTCTGGGTTAGTGGCTTTAGTGGGCCCCCAAAAGATTCAGAAATGTCTGCATTGGTTACATTGGGGCAACCAATTTCTCTATCAGTCGAACAATCCAAACAGAACGGAGCTCGTTTTGTTCAGACAAATCTTCCAGAAAAGAAAATCTAAAGTCACGTTAAGTAAAATACTTTATACTACATTATATAACACTATATAAATACATAAATAGAATTGAAAAAAATAGCAATAAATGCAAAAATATGTGCTTCTGAGAAACCTTCAACAATTGACATTATTGGTAAAAAAAATCCTCAAAAACAAAAGTTTAAAAGTTTTCATTTTATTCCCTTGAGTAAAACACTTTATGTGATGCTGTATTGGCTTCAAACATGACGGCCATTCTACAACAGTCCGAAGCTACAGATGAAGAGCCTTGCCAGGGCGGCTGTGGCTATAGTTTGCCACCACAGAATATGACGGGAAAGACTAATACCATTTGACGATTTTCTTTTGTTTCCATGAAAATAATAAATGATAAATAGCAGCTTTTAAACCAGCCATAATGAACAGAAGGCCACCTACGTTACTTTGCTCATGTCTTACGAAGAGCTGCAATGGTCCATAATTTATAAATAAAGGAATTATAATTGCAGTTTATGATAATATTTATTAACCACATTATTTAGACTAAAAAGAATGACAAAGAATTAAACATTACGAACGCTTTAGTTCAGCTTCAGCCACTATTCTTAAACCATTATTTATTTAAAAATGAAATAATCGCTGACCAGTCGACACCTGTTTTGTGAGAGGTCCATATTCTGTAAATCTGTTACATGCAGATTATTTAGAAGGCGTCTCTTCACCCCGTCCTCCTCCCGTTCACGGTCTATTATCAAAGCAAAGCATCTTGGGTATTTGTGCGGCAGCGTGGGTGTGTGCTTCGTTGTTTCCTGCAGCTTTTGTCGCCTATGATCGGATTTATGCCGTTCTATTTTTAGGTTCATGACTTTCACACATATTATCATTTTTACACTTGGTTTTCATCGAGACTTTCGCAGAAGAAGAGTCTCTTTTTACGCTCAATCAAGAGATTTCCAAGTATCTAATGCTACAGTACGAGGAAATAACAACAAACTCAAGGTCATGGCTGTTCATGTCCGCCCTTAAAGCTGGGGTACCTAACTTTATGTGTTCATCAAGACAACGTGTGGTTTGTCCCAAAACAAAAATTCTTGTAAAGGTTTTGTAAAAGTTATAAAAAAGTTGTGAATAACTGACCAAAGTTGAATCCGGCACCTCCAAAGTTGAATCCGGCACCTCCAAAGTTGAATCCGACACCTCCAAAGTTGAATCCGACACCTCCAAAGTTGAATCCGGCACCTCCAAAGTTGAATCCGACACCTCCAAAGTTGAATCCGGCACCTCCAAAGTTGAATCCGACACCTCCAAAGTTGAATCCGACACCTCCAAAGTTGAATCCGACACCTCCAAAGTTGAATCCGACACCTCCAAAGTTGAATCCGACACCTCCAAAGTTGAATCCGACACCTCCAAAGTTGAATCCGACACCTCCAAAGTTGAATCCGACAGCTCCAAAGTTGAATCCGGCACCTCCAAAGTTGAATCCGGCACCTCCAAAGTTGAATCCGGCACCTCCAAAGTTGAATCCGGCACCTCCAAAGTTGAATCCGGCACCTCCAAAGTTGAATCCGGCACCTCCAAAGTTGAATCCGGCACCTCCAAAGTTGGATCCGGCACCTCCAAAGTTGAATCCGGCACCTCCAAAGTTGAATCCGGTACCTCTACGCATGTGCGCGACTAATATTCATCATTACTACCGACAGTTCTGTGTCTGAGCTAATCCAGAAATCCGGTCTGTCTCATGTGTTCAGTGGATGAATCTGATGGATGAAAGTCTCTGTAGTGCTAATTTGTATTTGTCTCACAGTCACTTCATCTGTCTGAGCAAAGACTCAGAGCAAGGTTACAAGTCCAACAATTACAGCTAATTAAAAATCGTCATCTTCACGACGCACCCAGGCATCCTTGAACCCCCGGTGAACTCCAATGTCACCTTACAAACAAATTACTTGGCAGAGATTTTACTTTTGGTAATTAACCATTTTTATTAATTTGACCAGAACAAAGCCCCCGGAGAACACCCTCAAATGACTTGTTTCACTTTGAGTTTTTTTGTTTAGAAATAGTTCAACACCCTTTTTGTTTCATTCTGCCGTCATCATACTGTTGTATTCAGAATGTGAGGAGCTTTTGGAACAACTTAAAGAAGCTATACCCGATTTATTTTCTAATGAGTTCATGAAAATGCGTATTACTCCATACGAGTTGTATAATAATCCGTAATTTAATTGAAAACTTGAGCTCATTGATTCAGCTGTGTATGAATTCAGGCCGTAAAAAGTGCTGAGTAGAGACTTAGCGTGACGCCCGCTCTCCTCCAATCACAGAACGAGGCTGCGTCCTCTAGCCTCTACAGCGCTGCTAAACACAGTAGCATGTTAGCATAAGTGGCTTTAACTCCTCTGGCTGTAACTGCAGACTCAGCAAAACAGCCCAAACCACACAACAGTGAGGAAGAGAAGAGGAAACTAAAGCCAAAACATGATCAAAGAAGAAATCAAGCCCAGGTGAACATAGCTAGCTTACATCGTATCCTTTGGAGAGACTGGTCTGTGGGAGAGACCTGCGGGACCACCTCGGACTACACTGTAAAAACGACAACTCAAAATTGTTCACCTCACTAAGATTTTTGTATTCACAGACAAAAAAATTGCAAGTTGGAACTTGAACTGTCTGTTGTGAGCCACTCACTTTCTACTACTGCTACTGCTACTACTACTACTACTTTCTACTACTACTACGTACTACTACTACTACTATACTACTACAAATTATATGCAGGTAGTTAGCACCTGTTTGGTCCAGATGCTGTGTAACTTTGTCGTGGGTTGTGTGTGGCAGGTACATGGCCATCATCCACCCGCTGCAGCAGCGCATGTCGTCCACAGAGACCAAGGTGGTGGTGGTGGTGATCTGGGTGCTGGCGCTGCTCTTGGCCTTTCCGCAGTACTACTACTCCAACGTGGACCAGCTGCCCGGCCGTGTGGTCTGCTACATCGACTGGCCCGAGTACACCTCCTGTGACTTCAAAAAGATGTGAGTCAGCTGTTTTTACCACACGGATGGGTGAATATATCCAAAATGTCAATTTGTATTTGCTTGTTTGACGGTGTACTGTATATTAGAGGAGTTGTATTGGGGATTATTTTTGGTGTCAAACCCAAGAACACATCATGTTTTTCACTACAACACTCCTATAGACTTACATTGAAAAGTAAACGTCTCTAGCTCAGTTGCTGTTTGTTTTTATATTTCATTATTGTATTTGAAAATCCATATGAACCAAACAGATTGACCAAGCAGATGCCCATATGACTGCGCTGCCGAACAAAACTTTTTAAGAGATCCTTTGTTCCTTTGGCTGTCAGACTGTACTAGTATCTATCTATCTATCTATCTATGTATGTAAATATGTATCTATGTATCTATCTATGTATCTATGTATCTATCTATCTATGTATCTATGTATCTATCTATGTATCTATCTATCTATCTATGTATCTATCTATCTATGTATCTATCTATCTATCTATCTATCTATCTATGTATCTATGTATCTATGTATCTATCTATCTATCTATGTATCTATCTATCTATCTATCTATGTATCTATGTATCTATCTTCATTTGCAGGGGAAACTCCATCTTAGTAACCCAGTTGGAACAAATGCCCCATTGGAAAATTGGCTCCAGCTATCTTATGTTCAAATCGGCTTCTTCCACATTCGACGAACCCTTTGGTGCAGTCAGTCCAGTCATTTTAAAGAGAGTGATGAAGTCAACTTTCTGTGCGCAAAACTGACTCAGAGATTACACTTTCTTAGACGCTTGGGGATATTTGGAGTGTGCACAAAAATAACGACAATTCACCACATGTTCAAACGCTGTCTGAGATACTGCTGGGAAATCTGGTTCGGTCCGCTCTCAGAGAAGGACAAATCCAAAATCCAGAGTCTGGTGAGAGCAGCAACAAAGCCCTGTATGACCTTGTATAATCAAACTTTTAATATTTGTGTTTATGTATTTGATATGGACAGTGCACATTCATGAACATCTGTAGAAGATAGTAGAGAAAATAGAAACACATTTACAAACATTACATATGGATTAGGACTAGGACTAGAGCAGAGCAGTCATTTTTACAGCTCTCATTCTAATTCATGAAAGTTTTTAGGTGCTTACTAGTAAGTAATCCAGCTTTTTATCTTTAATACATTATACATTAATACACTGAACTGATGAATATGAATGAAATATAGCAAGACTAAATGCTAACTGCTGTGAGTAAACAGTGTGTTGCTATGGTAACTAGCTCTTGATCCAAGCAGAAATTGCTCGAAGCCAGTTTAGGATTGAGATAATTTCCTGAACTTATTAACATAGAAATAAACAGACAGAAAAGTCACAAAGACACAAATACCAAAAACGTAAAAGTGATTACAATTTCAAAACCAGAAGCTGTCAATTTGACTGCTCTGGGAGTGCTAGTGCTAATAGGTCAATTAAACTATTAAAACACTATGGTCATGCACCACACAATGACAGGTCATAGAGAGAAAGAGTTGGGTACAACAAGGAAAAACGCCATTCATCCACTTCCACTTCTCACGGCACGGTGGCTGAGTGGATAGCACTCTCGCCTCTCAGCAAGAAGGTCCTGGGTTCAAATCCTGGTTGGACCAGGGCCTTTCTGAGTGGAGTTTGCATGTTCTTCCCGTGTCTGCGTAGGTTTCCTCCGGGTGCTCCGGTTTCCCCTACCACTAAAAATATGTACAATAGGTCTGGCATGTGCCTCCTATACTGGCACCCCCACTCCCAAATAATAACCATTGTAAACCGCTTTGAGACTCCGATGTGCAGTGAAAAGGCAGTATATAAATAAAGATAAATACTTACTACTTACTCACTGGGTTTTCACACCGTTATTTGCTCCAATCTTCTCACCTTTTGTCATAAGTCGAACAGCTCTGGTGGAGTTATTGAACCATAAACAGACTTGGCTTCACCACAGCTCAGTGAGTAGATTGGACCTGGTGCTTGGAAATGGCAGACAAAAAGCAATGCGTACTAATTAAAATGTTGTTGAAGAAACGGTTGGCGTTTACCGTGAAAGCAGCAATTTAGAAAGCTTGGATTTGATTGTCACCATCTGTTCTGTGTGTTGGGTTCAGAGATTGAACAGTCTGTGCTAATCTTGTTATAGCCACTAGAACGGCAGCCATGCGTTTTGGTGGATGGCAAATGAACTGAGATCGTGAAGGATTTTGCAAACCTGCTAGTTTTGCTGAAGTCATGTGCGAAATGTTGCTCTTCCCTTACTTTGGGCGATGGGCTCAGAAATGTAGCTATTAGAAAAATCAAGACAATCCTTTTATACCTGGATACAGCTTTGGAGAAAGAAGAACGGCCAAGTCAATCACATTACCGGAGTTTAATCCTTTAATAATTTTGTTACAATGCTTTTGAACCTTCAAAAAGCAGGAGGCATAAATGGATAAACTTCTTATTTCTTTACTGATTTTAGTTTAAGTACCCTAAAAATCTAAGCACTTTCACATACAGGTGGAACCATAAAACATGTCAAGATGAATAGTACGAGGGTGCTATGGATGTATTTTCAACCAATCTTCTGTAAGTAAGTAATTTGACAGACCAAGGTCACCCAAAGCGCATTAAATGTTCAGAGTTCAGATATTTTTCCATTCTCTCCACACACGGTGAGGACAGAAGCGACTTACATACCTTTTGGAAATGTTTTTAGTGGTAGGGGTAACCCGGAGCACCCAGAGGAAACCTACACCGACACATAGAGAACGTGCAAACTCCACACAGAAGGGCCTGGAGGTGGAATGAAACCCAGAACCTTCTTGCTGTGAGGCTCTAACTGCTGCGCCATCGTACCACCACTGTATTTGAGTGTGTGTTTGTGTGTGTGCTGGTGTGGCTGGTGTTGTGCGCTCCTCTTTGTCGGTTGTGTAGTTCAGACTTTCCTTCACTGAGAGCTTGAGTGACAGTTAACTGCAGAGGTAGGTACGATAGAAGGCGGTGGCAGAACCGCTCTGAAACCTGTCTTTGAGCCAGGGCGCACACACACATCAACACAGACACACACACACACACACATCAACATAGACACACACACACACACACATCAACACAGACACACACATCAACAAAGACACACACACATCAACATAGACACACACATCAACACAGACACACATCAACACAGACACACACATCAACATAGACACACACACACACACACAAACATAGACACACACACACACATCAACACAGACACACATCAACACAGACATACACACGCATCAGCACAGACACACACACACGTCAACACAGACACACACACACACATCAACACAGACACACACACACACACACACACATCAACATAGAAACATACTGTACATCAACATAGACACACACACACATCAACACAGACACATACATCAACATAGACACACACACACAGACACACACACACACATCAACATAGAAACATACTGTACATCAACATAGACACACACACACATCAACACAGACACATACATCAACATAGACACACACACACATCAACATAGAAACATACTGTACATCAACATAGACACACACACACATCAACACAGACACATACATCAACATAGACACACACACACATCAACACAGACACACACACACACATCAACATAGAAACATACTGTACATCAACATAGACACACACACACATCAACACAGACACACACACACATCAACACAGACACATACATCAACATAGACACACACACACAGACACACACACACACACACACACACACATCAACATAGACACACACACACATCAACACAGACACACACACACATCAACACAGACACATACATCAACATAGACACACACACAGACACACACACACACACACACACATCAACATAGAAACATACTGTACATCAACATAGACACACACACACATCAACACAGACACATACATCAACATAGACACACACACACACACATCAACACAGACACACACATGCATCAACACAGACACACACACACAACATAGACACATACCCATCAACAGAGACACACACTCACACACGCCAACATAGACACACACACAAATCAACACAGATGCACACACACATCAACACAGACGCACACACACACACACACCTATACAGTATATTCATACATATACACACACATAAAAACACAGACACACACACACTTGCACACACAAATACATCCCCCCTAACTACACGCACACACTCTAGCACACGCACACACACACACTCTAATACAAATACGCACACACCCACACACACACACACATACACACTCTAATACAAATACGCACACACCCACACACACACACACACAAACACACACAGGTCTGCTTCCCCCGCTGCAGACTCTTGCTCCGGTCCTGATGTGGCTCGTCTGCACCAACGCTCTATTGAAATCCTCTGTGGTTGTGAATAGACACAAAAACATGACGTAGATATTGACTATGTGCCAGCGGAGCTGAGTATATAACAATATTATGATGTTTCTGGTGTTCATGCAGGCGCTGGAGCAGCCGGCTGCCCGTCTCTTTCAGTTTCAACTTTTTTTCCCTTTATACCTGTTTTTATTCTTCTTTTGTAAATAATGTTTTTATATATCACTGGGAGAAAGACAGAGTCACCCGGACTCCATTCACCAGTCACTCTACCTGTTGATATTATTATAATTTCTGATCAGCTCATATTCATATTCTCATATTCTCATATTCGAGGGCGACAGTAGCTCAGTTGGTAGAGCGTTGGCCTTTGAGCCAGAAGGTTGTGGGTTCGAGCCCGACTTTCACCATCGACTCCCACTGTCTGCTGTTGTTGTGTCCTTGGCAAGACACTTAACCTCTGGGAACACCTGATCTCACAGTGGGGCGGCTGCGGCTGTAAAGTGCCAAACTGCCGATGTGTCCTTAGGCAAGACACTTCACCCCCATTGCCTGTGTGCGTGCGTGTGTGCGTAC